CATCAAAAAGGATTACAGCCTAAAGTTAGAGGGAATAATATGGCAGATGAGGAAGCTAAGCGAGCAGCTTTACTAATGATAACAGCCTCAGAGAGTGAAAATACGAAACTTTCAAAAAGTTTCAGTAATCAGGAAAAAGAGAAATTACTACAAGTGGGAGCAAAGAAAAAAGATAACCAGTGGAGATTACCAGATGGATGGGAGGTACTTCCAAAAGGCTTGGCCCAAAAGATTATGACCAGGCTGCATGAACAAACACATTGGGGGACTCAAGCTCTAGTAGATCAATTCGAAAACAAATATGCCTATATAGGAATATATGGGATTGCTAAGAAAATCCTGGAAGGATGTTTAATATGTCAGAAAGTGAATAAAAGACAATTAAGGGAGAGAATACAGGGTGGGCGAGAAGTAGCTAAAAGGCCCTTTGAGAAAGTGCAGGCTGATTTTACAGAATTACCTAAAGTGGGGAGATATCACTATTTATTAGTTTTGGTAGACCACCTTACCCATTTCGTAGAAGCTTTTCCTGTAGCTAGATGTACGGCTAAAACTGTAAGTAAAGTTTTATTAGAAGAAATCATCCCGAGATACGGGGCTGTAGTGGTGGTGGATTCGGACCGAGGACCACATTTCACTTCTAAAATAATTAAAGGAGTAACTGAACTTTTCGGAACCAAATGGGAGTATCATACTCCCTGGCACCCACAAAGCTCTGGTAAGGTAGAGAGAATGAATGGAGAAATAAAAAAACATTTGACGAAATTAATGATGGAAACCAAAATGAATTGGGTAAAATGTTTACCCTTGGCCCTCCTGTATATCCGAACCCAATCCCGAACTGACACAGGAATTTCTCCTTTTGAAATGATATATGGAATGCCATATGATTTTGGAATTCCGATAGAGAATCCCAAGGTGGAAGATTTTTTTCTAAGAGAATACATTATTGAACTAATGAAAAGGAGACAGGAGTTGAGAAAGAGAGGACTGGTGGCTCAGAGGCCTCCATTAGACATGTCAATACATAGGTTCCAACCTGGAGATTGGGTACTAATTAAAAATTGGAAAGAATCCTCATTAACCCCTAGTTGGTAAGGGCCATTTGTTGTTCTTCTCACTACAGATACTGCAGTCTGGACAGCTGAGAAAGGATGGACCCATGCATCCAGGGTTAAGGGACCCGTTAGCGCTCCTGAGTGGACAGTGACATCCTCACCTGGAGACCTCCGACTGAAATTAAGGAAAACCAAAGTGAGGGAATGAATCCCCCAGGAGACGAAGTAAGACCAAGCCTGTATCAATTTTTTCAGATACCTCCTGAGCGGATATTACAAAAAGTACACTACGTACCCTACAGACAAGAAAGAATACCTGACCAGACCGGAGGGTCCGGAGTGTACAAGTTAGTAGGAACCCCAATCACATTCCCCTTTTGCTGCGAACTGGAAACTGAGATTCCTGAATTTTCCAACCCCTTTGGAATACCGTGCATTAAACACCCGGACACTGGACATTTTAGCTGGGTAGTTTGCAAATGTGTGATATGTAATAGAAAGTGGTACTGTTCTTCAATTAATAGACAATCTCATTGTATGAAATGTAGAATCAATGCATCTGAGCATCCACGGGGACTGTTAGACCAAACAGAGATTTGCAAATTATTCTGTGGGTGGGAGTTATTAGTGCCAGTGAATTGGGAAATATATGAAACAAACTGGGAGGAAGTGCTAAAAGAATGTTGCTCTAGACCATCCTGGAAGTTGGGTCAACCAAGCAGGGAGGTATACCTAGAGTTGAATGAATTGTTTGAAAAATTGAACGTTTGGAAATAGGGTCACTGACAAAAATATTGTACTCTTTTAAATTAAAACAAGGAACTATAATAGCTATCTAGGCAAAACTCCTGAAGAATACCACTGCTGCCGAGAAGAACTGATACCTCGTTGCTCCCTGCAAAGGAGTAGACGAAGGAAGGCAGAGGGGTACAATAGTGGAGACGAAAACTTGCCAAATAATATCTACCTCTGAAATGAGAAAAAGGATGGACAAAATTTTATTATTAATCATAAGCTTAATGCTTATGACACGTGGGAAAGAAATCCCACATCAACCCTATAAATGGACTATAACCAGACTGGATGACAGGCAAATCGTTAGAGACAATAAGTGCAGGGACTCCTATTTTCAACGTCACAAATTGCAACATAATAAAACACATATGGTATGTTTATAGACCGAACATAGTTTATGGGGGACCTCTTGATTCAAGAACAGTCAATTACTTACCCTCTTATTGGTGTCCCAAATATAATATGCAAGTTATAGTAGTACCAAAAATGATTTACCATTCCGGGGAGTCAATTTTTAAAAAGCTGTGGACCTGGGAATGTTCGTGGGAATTGTGATTTACAGCCCTTCCAGCTCCATCCTCCTGTAATAGGTAATGCTGAGCAAAAAGTGTAGTATGCTCATCAAATCAGGGAGTTAAAGTTTACTTATACTTGTTACAATGGGCCAGGCAAGGACTGTGCTCATAAGAGTGTTCTTTGTGTTCTTTGTTATGAAATGGGCAATTACAAAGGGGAAAGTTACTGCATTGTAATAATTGTATGG